ATGAAGAAGTAGTAAAAAATTAATTTTATTAAATCTCGACCTTTGACTACATATACGTATTTTTAACATTTGGTGTGACAAATGGGAAGTATATATGAAGTACCTTTGGCTCCTTATAAAACATGACAGATTACCTTAAGGAAAAAGCACTTGTGTGACTGAACTATAAGTTAAGTAGCCACTCTTTTATGGAATAGCCACTCTTTTATGGAATATCATTTGTACTTGGAAGAAAAACTGACAAAGTATTCAGACTCGAATATTTGGCAGATGTTTCCTCAAAAATGAATGAAGTGAACCTATTAGGATAATATTAGTAGATAACATACCTACACAAAGCTCTTTTAGGTCCTCAATAAATTAAGAGTGTAAAAGGGATCTTGAGACCAAAAAGTTTAAAAGTGTGCTCTATCATCACATCAGTCCATTTTATTGTTTTTATAACACTACCACCTGAAATTCTTATTCAGTTATGTGTTTACCTGTTTATCGTCCATCTTTCTCAATTAGAATGGAAGCTCCAAAAGAGTAGAGACCTTGCCTATCTTACTGAGCACCATATCCCTAGTGCCTAAAATTTGACCCAGCACACAGTAGGTATTCAATATTATTTTGACAAACAGAATGAATTTAATGTGTGGATAGCATATTTAGGCACAGACAAAAGAAGATGGATCATTTTTAATTTATGGAACATATACATTATCCTTTCATCAATTAGCAGTTTCAGGATATGGATGAAGGAATTGCCAGTTGAAGGCAGTTCCAGCAGACAGGTATCATGTCTACTCTGTGGAGCCTGCTCTCTCCCTCACGTTGCCTCTTTAGCCCAGGTACTAGTTACAGGTGCCATCCCTGTTTCTACTAGCTGTAGGTGCCCCCACCTCATGGAAACGCTGGAGACTATGAGGACTGCTAAGTGCTTCCTGAAGTTGTACATGTCCAACAGTGAGAGGGAGGCCAAGCTATGTACTCTTACTCTCTGAGTTAGCAGTGTGAATGTGGGTCAAACATCCCCACTAACTTCCTGAGGACACTTGTGTCTGGTTTTTGGAACTAGATTTTCCATATTTTTATATCCCACTGGCAAATAAGATGGGAGAAGAACTCAAATCCCAGGTTTACAATACCACTTACCTTACCCAGAAGTTCTCTTAGAATCTATACTCCCTTATTACAAATTGGTTCAATTAGCCTGGTTTCCCAGTCCAAAGGGCATTAGAAACATTGAACAGAATGAGAAAATGAAAGGAAGCTGGATAAGGATAAGATCAGCCAGCAGCACATACCGAAAGATCACAATAAAGTAATGAAAGAAAACACAGACAAAGGAGAATGCTAAGTCACAGGCACAGAAGCTGGGACCATTTAGAGTAGGAATAATC